AGGTCCCTGGGGACACGGTGCTGGACCGCACATCGCTGCAGCCTGCTGAGAGGAGCAGGAGGCTCTCGAGCAGCGAATTAATCCCCTGTCATCTGCACACATGAAAAGCAAAGCGGCTGGGCAGCTAAGAGGCGGGCAGAAAGTTGGGCTGGAGGTGTGCATTACCCGCATTGCGGTGGCGGTGAGATGCTGGGGATCCTTTCTGCCTCGGGTCTGGGGTTGCCTGTGCCAGGGGAGCGAAATGGGCTCCGAGCAAAAGCCCTGAGTCATCCCGAGGATCTGGGAACCGGGTCTGCAGGGAAGCACCAAAGAGCAAGAGGCTGGGGATAACATCTGGCATTGGGAAAGCTGCTCTGGTTCCAGCAGGAAAGGGGGGGTTTCTCTGGATTTGGGGTGCGATGGGATCCGGCACTGGCTCTGGGTGCTCTGCCAGGCTTCGGTGTGGATTTATCTGTGGCCTTGGGGACACAACCCTCGGTCTCCTCTCTGCAGCAAGGTGACCGTGGTTCTCCCAGCTCGGAGCTGAGAGTGCAGAGACGAAGCAAGAGAGGGCTCAGGCACCCCTGGGACATGTTGGGGAGCAGCAGGAGGGGTGCAGGGAGCTGCGGCCCCCGGGGCTGGGCAGCCAAAAAATTGTGTGGGGTGCCAGGATGTTCCTAATCCTCAATTTTCCCGGCTTCCCTGGTCAGCAGCCAGCAGGCACAGTGGCCAGGATGGGCAGTGTGGTACCAGCCGGGGGGTGCGTGCACCCCCTGCCCCAGACCAGGGATGCTGGGGAGCATCCTTGCCCCCTGTGTGCACGAGCTCCCCGCAAACCTCCGCTGGCAGGAGCACCCGGGGTCTCTTCCCACCATTGCCTGTGTTAAGTCATTCCCTGCCCTGGGAATCTGCCATTAAACACTTTTCTGAATAATTCAGTAGCCAGGAGAGACCCTTCCCCACCATGCCCGTCCCCTCCCGGCAGCACAGGGACCTCTCCAGCCAGAGGTGACATCCCCACCCTGATGGGATTTTTTTTCCATGACCTCCTTCCGTGTCTTTCTCTGTATTTTTCTATTTCTACTAATTCCTTTCCCAATGGAGAGTACACGACGTGGACGCACCAAGCTTTGATTCAGTGGCATAACAACGTTGGCATAATGGGACGTGACATTTAGAAGAAAAAAAGGATTTGCATGGTAGGGGCTGACAGTCTCCTTCGGGCACGAAACCCCTGCTTGATGGTGATGGGAAAAGCAAGGGTGGTCTGGAGCCGGGCCGGTCAGTGTGGCGGGGGCGAGCCGGGGTGGTTTGGGACCATCCCATGCCCCGGCGTCGGGATTGGTGTGAAAGAAAGCTAAAATGCAAACGGGCAGCTGAGCCGGGAAACGCCAGAGTTTGGGAGTGCTGGGAGCTCGCTGGGCCCTGCCCTGCTCTCTCATGACCTCCCTCCATGCAGAAATAATTGGAGGGAGAGTTTCTCTTGGACTGGGTTTTTTTCTCAGATGCTTTTCCCTTGGAAAGCCTGAATGTTTCTGGGAGCTGGGGTAGGAGCGATCCTCACCACTGGTGCTGGCTTTGGTGGTGAGGAGGAAAACCCAAGGTGTGCGCCTTCCCCTGCAAGGACACGGCTGAACAGATTCGTATCCAGCTGCAATTAGCATCTTATTCCTTTATTCCTTGTTCAAGCCTCCACTCCGCTCGCAGGAGGCTGGATTGCCATCCCGGCGGCTCTGCCCTTCCCGGGATGCTCCTGAGAGCCAATGCATAAATCCTGACCTCATTATAAAGATCACAGAAAGAGAGAATAACAAATCTGGGCTCCTGGCTGTGCCGGCTTTGAAGCCGCCTTCCCCCCGTCAAGCTAGCGTGCCGTAAGCGAGCAGCGCAGGAGGAGCCCTGTTTGTTTGGGGATTAACTTCCCCCACTTGGCTAATTGTTGGTTAATCGTATCGGCGCGCTGCCTGGCCGGCACCTCGGCTGCTTCCCCGCGGGACGGGGCTCCCCCCCAGCACCCGGATGAGTCCCAGGGGGTCCCAGGGGTCCCCGGGGCTGGGTTGGGGCGCGCTCCTGGCGAGGTGGCAGCAGCCCAGCCCCGCTCTGCTGCGCAGCTCCTGGGTCCCATCCGTCATCTGTTTGTCCTGGTCCCCTGCCAGCGATTGTGCCGATTCCCACACCCACTTTCCATAACCCTCCGTCCTCGCCCGGGCGAATCGCTGGCGCGCTCGCCACCCATCCCTTTCCCCTCCTCTCCGATGGGATCAGACACGTTTTGGAGAAGGGGAAGAAAGGAAAGGGAAAAAAAAAAAAAAAGAAAAAGATCAAGAGGAAAACAAAATGTGACTCACTGCCTTCTTAATTTATTTGTATTTATTTATTCCCCCCCGCCCTACGCTGCAACGTGCAGCAGGCAACATAGAGGGCTGGTCACGATCTACCAGAGAGCTTCGGCGTGGCCGGTGGCCGGCTTGGCAAAGGGATGCCAGGAATGGGGGAGAATAATTTTCCCCACTCTTTTGGCTAAGGAAAAGAGCACGGAAAGGAGCTCCTGGCAGAGAAGTTGCGTGGCACAGATTTTTAAGGCTGTCCAGGTCTCCACGCGAGCATCCAATGCCCCACCGGCACTTGACACCACACAGCACGGACCGGAGGGTGGAAATATCTAATTCCACCTCCTACACTGTGTCCTCGGCAGGGGAAAGAGAGAAAGGGAAGATAAAAGGCTGGGAAGCTCAAATGGTGTCATTAGGAACTATGAATGCTTTCATAAAATGGCATTAATAAACCCGGCAGCTCATCAGCGTCCATTAGCTCCGCTCGTGGCAGGGATCTTTGGGGGCTGCTGGCACGTGATGCTCCCCCTCGCCGGCATTTCAGCAAAGGGCTGGAGGGGGGCGGTTTATTCCTCCCTACAAACCATTCCCCCCCCGCCCCCTCCGCAAAAAATTAGGAAAAACCCGCTTCCCAGCTGCAGGCCCCCCTGCGCCCCGGGGAGGCAGCGGGACCCCGGGAGGGGAAGCTCGCAGGAGCAAGTGGGGCTTCCCACCCGACCCCGCCAGCCTGTGCATGTTGCGAGCAGAGTTTGCTCCCTTGCTTCCAGAATAGCTGTTTGCTATTAAAAAAAAATAAATAAATAAATAAATAAAATAAACCCAGCGAGGCAGGGTTTGCAGTGCTCGTCCCTACTTTCTCCCTCCCGCCCTCTTCCTGTTCTTGCCTCTTAAAAGGAGCTTTATCCTTTGACTCTCCCATCCCCGGGGCTAGCCAGAACCCACTGCATCTCGGGACGAGCAGGCAACCCACATCAGCAGGCGGGAAAACAGGGAGGAGGCCCGACCTCTCCCGATAAGCCCATGGCAAAGCCAGGAATAGCAGCAGGTCCCCGCACGGGAGCAGCCCTACCCGGAACAGAAAAAAAAAAAAAAACCTTCAGTCCCTGGCTTTGAAGAACAGGGGCTGGCGGCCGGCCCGGCCGCAGGGCGAGCTTGGGGTTTGCTGTGAGCTTCCCCCGCCAGGCCGGCCCCGCAGCCGCGATCAGCACATCTGGGGGAGCGGGCACAGCTGGGCGGGGGGGGGGGGCTGCTGTGCACAGCTGGGCGGAGGAGGTATGTGCATCCCGTGGGCAGAGCGGGCATGGCGGGGGGGGGGGGCTGATGTTGCACATCTGGGTGGAGCGGGCACGCACATCTGGGCAGGTTGTGGGCGCACATCTGGGCAGACTGGGCAGGGAGAGAGCAGCCAGCGTGGCCTCACGTCATGATCCCCACCCCCTCCCCAGCACACCCTGGGGTCCTTCTCCAACCCAGCCCCCCCCCCCAAGCCTGCGTGCTGCCTTTCCCTTCCCCCTGTGAACCGCGGCACCCAAACCTGCCAGCCGCTGCCCAAAATCTTAGTCATCACCTCTCAGTCACGGGGATATTTTCAGCTCTGGCTGCCAAGGTGGCGAGCCAGCCCCGGGGATCTGGTAGCCAAGGACCTGAGCGGGCACCTTGGCTTCCCGGTGACCTTTGCTGTGCCACAGGCAGCTCACAGGAGGCTGTCGCCAACCGTGACTCAGTGCAAAGCAGGTTTTCTTTTTGGAGAAAGCAAAGCTTTGATCCCGAAGTGCCAGGGAACCGACCATGTTCCCCGCGTGCACTTTTGCTTGCAGTTATCTGATGCATCTTTTTTTTTTTTTTTTTCTTTTCTCGGAGTAATAACTCCCAGGGCAGGTTAGGACGGAGGAGCCCTGGCAGGGGAGTGTGTGTGGGCAGGACTGGAATAACGGGTGTCGTAGGAGAGGATTTACGAGCACTGGCAGCAGCATCGGTGGGAGTAGCACAGCAGGTCAGGGGTGAGGGGGCTTGTGCGGGGCCAGGATGCGGCCGAAGCTCCCGCCGTTGCCCCTTTGCTATTAATCCAGTCCCGGTGGGATGCTCGGTGATTTTGGCAAAGCCTCGCTCCTCCAGGGTAGCATCCCAGCCCGGGGATGGAGAGCCAAACCTGCCGGGCGGTGGGGTTTGCTGGCCGGGCAGGAGTTTTGGTTGAGAGCAAAACGGCCGCGACAGAGCAAAACTCAACCGCGGGAACGCCGGCGCGAATCGCCGCGGTGCTCCGCTGCCGGCCCCTTCCCACCCGGCGTGGCTCACCCTTCCCAAATACCGGTGTGCCGAGCGGCACCGAGGCTTTTAACGGAGCTGTTGTGGCTTCCCCGGTGTGCCACGGCCGGGGTCACCAGTCCGGATCACCGGGTCCCTGATGGTCCCTGTGTGCGGGTGACAGTGTGGTGACAGCACCGCCTGTGTGCCACGGCATCGAGCCTCTAAATCCCAAATCGCCAAAGAAAGCCCCCGACGTGCTCCTTCCCCCCACTCTCCCCCTTCTCTAATGACCTTTGCAAGGAAAACACTCGAAATGTTGGAAAACAAATCCCTTGGGGAGAAGCGGGTGCAGCTGGAGGGGGGTCAGAGGGGTCCAACCCCTCCACATCTTTCTCCTGGGGGTCTCGGTAGCACCTCACCCCCTTCTTTTTGTCTTTTCAGGGTGTGGATCTGAGGACCGGGGACATCAAAGGGCTCGTGCTGACGGGTGAGTGCAGGCCCCGATGGGGGGGGGACACGGGGTGTCCTGCAGCCCGGGCTGGGAGCTGGGACAAGGCGGTGGCAGAGCTGGCTGTGCCAGCGGGGACGAGCGCGCCGGGATGCGAGGGAGGGACACGAGGGGTTCCCGCAGGGCACAGCTGGGCGCCGTCTGAAACAGGAGCCACTTTTTCTCTGATTCTTCTAGAGGCAAAAGTGGTTAAAAAACTCCCCAGCGGTTGGGAGAGCTCCAAACCAGTGCAAAAAGGCGGGGGGGGGGGGGGGGGGGGGGAAGGAGGGGGGAATATAATCAAAAAGAAAAACACCAGATAAAAGTGGGTGAATCCCAACAACTTCTGTGATGTTGCAGGAACAAAGACTTTCATTTCAAAACAGGCCAGACATGGCTCACGGAGTTTACACCCCGAGGGAGCTGGGGAGAGGGGCCGGGGGCTCGCCCGACTGTGGGCAACCGAGTCCTGGAGGAGCTTCGGCCTCTTGGCCCTTGGCATCACATCCTCTCGTCCCCGACTGAGCGGGCCATTCCCCGGGGATGTCTCTCTCCTGGGGACAACCAGCCCTCTCTGCCCCGAGCCAGCTGCAGGCCCCACATCTGGGCAGCTGTGGATGGGAAGGGAGATGGAGGAGAGGTCGAGGCGCTTGGCACGGAGGCGAGGAGCACCCCGGGGCTCTGAAGTTGAAAGAGGAGGAAGAGGAGGAGGAGGAGGAGAGGGCGGTGGCTGGCGCAGCAGGAGATTGGGGGCAGGTTATTTCAGGAGAGGGAAAACAGGAGCCGGCCCCCGGCAAGATGGGGGGGATCCACACGGTGATAAAGGAGGGGGTGGGTTTTGGGGGGGTGGGGGGCACAGGGGCTGCTCCTGCCTGTGAAACACCCGAGCTGCTGAGCGCTTTCTCCCCCCCAGCCTCCACGCGTGGCGAGGGGGCTGGGTGCTCAGCGCTGGGTGGGAGAGCTGGTCCCAGCCCGGAGGCGGGTGATGGGCGGCGGGGGTTGTGGCGAGAAGCGGGTCCCTCTCGGCCGGGATGCTCAGCCGTTATCTTTTGCCTCCCCAGATTACGTCCGGCCCACCCCCCCGCCCCGCAGCGGGTACCACCGCTACCAGCTCCGCCTGTACGAGCAGCCGGCTCACGAGGCCATCGCCCTGAGCCCCGAGGAACGGGTCTCACTGGGTAAGGAGCAGCTGTGCCCCCGCTCCCGTCTCCCCGAGGGGCTTTCTCGGGTGTACGGATAATGCCATGTGTCCGAGCATGCCAGAAGCGCCAGGCTGAGGGTGCTCGTTTGGTGCAAAGGGCCTTCGAACCCTTACACGGGGTGTTAAACATTTGCAAGGCAGGAGAAACCCGCAGCGAAGTGGCTGGTAACGGCCTGGCTAGCGGGATCGGAGGCAGGGAGAGATCTCGCCCGCTGTGAAATCGGGCCGAGTCCTTGCTGGCAGGTCCCCCTCCTCTCGGCGAGCCCTGCCAGTTGCATCACCACCGCCTCGGAGCGCGCAGATAAGGATCAGACGTGGAGATGGTTTAGCAAGGGATTGCTCAAACCCGGCTGACACAACGCCCCGCCAACTCCCAGCTCCCCTCCGCCCCACTGGGTGCAGGGACAGGGCTGCCACCTCCCCAAACGCTGCCTGGCAAGGATGGAGGCGAGCAGCCAACACCTCCAAACCACGGCGGGACCGTCCCCGCTGCTTCATCCCGGGGCGGGGGGATGCACCCGGGGACCCCCCGGCACGGATCCATCCTGCAAAGTGCAAAGTGGGGGTTCCTTCCCCAGCCCGGGCTGGAGCGTAGGGTGCTGCAGCTCACGTGGCCTCGACAAGGGAAATTTCCAAACTTTCCCAGCCGGGACCGCATGAGCGCGGCTCGATCGGCAGGTCAGGTCGGTGCGTCCCGTCTGCGCCCGCCTGACTCACCCCAGCACGGTGTGAACCAACACTGCACGGCGGCAGCAGGGTGGCCCCGGGGGCCCCCGTGCTGGGAGAGACCCCAAAACCTCCTTATGCTTGCCCCGTGGCCAGAGCGGGCTGCTGCTGCTGCGAGTCTCTCTGCGGGTTGTTTCTGCCCGCCGGTTTGCTTTCTAGCTCATTAGCTCTGCTTCTTAATGACATGCACCGAAGTCACCCCCCTACCAGCGGAGTGGGGCACTTCCCCGGCCCCTCATCCCTGGTGTGGTCAGAAGAGGGGGGCTCCACTGCTGTCACCCAGGGCCAGTGTCCCCCATCGCAGCACCCCTGGGAAGGGACACTGGGACACCCACCAAAGGGCTTTTCCCAGATAAATCCTCTTGTTAACAGGATGCGCGGCTCCAGCCCCCAAATTTCATACCCAGAGGGGTTCAGCCACCAGACCCGCGTGTCCTGTGAAAATTCCCCCCCCCCGGTCCCCTGGGACACAGTGGCTGCTCTGCACCGTCTCCATCCCATCCTCAAGTTTCTCAGCCCATCGCAGCCTCCCCGGGACAGACCCGGTCAAACGGCAGCGGGTATTTCCTCCGCAACATCTGATGCCTGAGCACCACCGGTTGTCAGACAGCTGCGGCTGTCTCGGCAGCGCCTGTTGTTTAAGTAGATGGTTGAAGGTTATTTTTAACCATTTCCCCGCTGCATCACAGGCTTGGCCTGTCCAGCGGGCGCTGCTGGATTGAGCCACCACCCACCAGCAGCCGGTAAGCGGAGCATGAGCCCTAAAAAGCAGCCAAAGGATGCGATTTTAGTGTAATTAAATCCATCCCCAGGGACCGCAGTGGGACAAACACCCAGCCGACCACCAGTGCATCCAACCCTGCGTGGCTGGGCGCTGGGATCTGCCCCCGTGGTGCGAAGAAGAGGAGCAAACACCTTTGGTAGCACATGGAAACAAGAAGGGTCTGACCTTGACCCCACGGCCGGGCAGGGGGGGGAAACTCAGCCAGCTTCTCATGGCTCCAGCTTGTTCCTCTCCTCCTGTGGCACGAGGGGGGGGTTCGCCCCGCGATGCTCGCGGCCCTGCTCGGGGTTTGCCATCTTGCTTGGCCTTAAACCTGCCCCTTCTTCTTGCTTTTTCTTTTGTCCTGCATCTGGTGGCAGCGATATCTCCGTCTCACCAAAGGTGGTGGCACCCATTGTCACCGAGGTGTCCTGACCGGAGCACCCGGGGGGTGCAGGGAGCGGTGCTGGCCCGACCCAGCCTCTGGACGCATCCTGCGCCGCGCATCGCCGGCACCGTGCCGTGCATCCATCCCTCTGGGAGCTTGTAGACCCTGCTCGGGGAGAACAAGGAGCCCCACGAGAACACTTCTCTCACCGCTCAGCTTGGGGAGAAGCTCCTTCCATCACCCTCCACCCAAGCAGAGGCACAGGCTGTGTTTTGGAGGCTGAAACGGGTAAAATCCTGGGCCAAGCAGAGCTGAACTGGGGAAGGTGGTGTGTGCCAAGTGGGATGGCAGGAGCTCGGCAGTGGAGCCTCCAGAAGAGGGCACTAAACCAGGGCCTGCCCGTGCCGCCGTGGCCCTTCGCTCCCAAAAGAGCCATTCCTTGTGCAACCCCCCGGGGAAATTAAAAAACGAGGGGAAAATAAATCCGTGCTTCTTCTCCGCCCGCCTCGGCGCGCCTGGCTCTGGAATGCCGGCGGCTCAAAGGGAGAGGGGGTGGCTCTGCAGCCGGGGGTGGCTGGGGTGCCCACCCTGCCGTGGGGGTGTCCCACGTTGGGTGCTGTGCCCGAGGGCGCGCGGGCCGGCAGTGGCGGAGCTGGAGGAAGGCTGCAGCAGCACCCCGCTGCATCCCCTCGCTGCCGCTCCCCACAGCGAGCCCGGCGCTGGTGGCAATGGTGAAATCAGTTGTTTACAGCAGAGGTGTTTCTCCAGGGTGGCTCTTAAGCAAAAAGACTTGTTTCATCGGGGAAAAAAACCCACCCTGATCCTTCTCCACAAGTGTTGCTGATCAATCCCTGCACCAGCCTGCTCTCTCGCTGTGCGACCTTGGGCAAATAACGCTCTAGGAGCCTCACTCTCCACTCAGCCTCCACTTTTTTGGCTGTGCTGCAGCTGTGCAAGCAAATTGTCGCTGGGCACCAGCTCTGTCCCCTCTCGGGACCGAAGGTGGGGACCCTTGGGGTGTCCCCAGGGCTGTACGGGCACCGTCAGGCACTGCAAAGCCCTTCCTTCCTGCTCGCCCCGCTTCCCTCCCAAGCCAGGAGGGTTGCAAGCCATGTTTGTATTTTGGTGAGATGCAAGATAATAGTTTGTGGTCTGCAAAATGTCAAAGCCGCCCAGCACGTCCCGAGGCGTTGGCACCCGCTGCGAGCTGCGGGGAACTCCCTCGGCCGGGGAAATTCAGGCGTCCGGCGAGCCCCGGCCGTGGCGGGGTGGCACGGCGGCACTTGGGGATCTTTTCGCCCATCCGCAGCCCGCGGGAGGATGGAGACCGTTTGTTTTCCACCTCCTTCCTTTCCTTTGTGGGGGAACTTTAATTAGCACAAGATCTTGAGGCTTAATTGCACCTGCCGGGCGGTGCCGTGTCTCCCTCTGCTTCCACTCTGCCGTGCCACGGTGCTGGATGCCCACCAGCACCGGTGAGTGTGGGGAGATGCTCCCCAGCATCCCCCCCAAGCTTCCTCCTGCCCCAGAAAGACATTTTCCAACTGGGAATGGACTTTTGCCTCCCAGAGATGTTGCCTCCGGGAAGCAGCGAGTCCTTCGGGGACCAGAGATGGGGAATGAACCCTGCCAGCCCCACGGCTCCATCCCTCTCCAGCTCTGGCTTCGCACTGGGGCCGCAGCATTGACTCATGAGACGACCTTGTGAGCCTCCGATCCACCCAGCTGGAAAATCGGGTTGGACTGGGCCCCGGGCGGGGAGGGAAAGGCTGCGGCTGGGACGGGAGGCAGCGAAGGGCTGCGGGGAGCACACGGTCCCGGCCGAAGTCCCTGGGTGTCAGTTAATGGTGACCAAAGCAGCTGGCGGCCTCCCGCCTACCTCCGCTGGGACATCATTAATCTTGGCAGAAAAGCATCAGGGCTCCTATCAGGGAGAACGGTCCCGCTGATGAGGCTGATAAATTACAGCTGGCAACGTGCCCCCAGCGCTGCGGGGTCGGGGAGAGGGAGTGGGGACTGATTGTTTTTTTTTTTTTGGGGGGGGGGGAGTGGTAGGATGTGATGGCAGCGCTGTTTCGCAGCCCCGTGCACCTGTTGCCTGTGGAGCCGGAGGGTCCCTGAGCTCCCCCCAAGCCCAGCAGCTGCCTCGTGCCTCAGTTTCCCCACCTGGTACCCAGGGATCAGGCAGCCGCCGCGTGGGTGGGTGTCGGCGGGTGCTCCTCTTCCTCTGGCGGGCGCGCAGATAAGGGCCAAGCGCCATGATACGATCCTCTGGGAAATGAGCTTGAAAATGGACCATGCCCTGGGTGAAATGTCTCATCGTTTCGGCAGGGAGAGGGGACGGCAGCGGCTCCGTGGTCCTGGTGGCTCTCAGTCCCCAGGCCTGGCAGCTGGCCGGTGGGGACAGTTTGCAGAGGGACGTCACCCTGGGGACCCTGTGCCATCTGCGGTCACGCCGGGATGGAGCACCCAGTTTAGGGGATGCGCCTAAGAGATTAGATTTGGCGTGGGGGGTGAGCGGACCCCCAGACCCGGTAACCACCCGGTGTGCATCACCCCCCCTTTGCCACACCGGCGGCGGCGCCCCGGGGGACTTTCCCTGAGGCCGGTCCCGGCTCCCGCAGCGTGACGGGCGCAACCGGTGCGGTGGCAGGTAGGAAAGTAGGTCAGGAAAAACCCCGGCCCCACGCGTGGCGGGGAGAGCCTGGGCCAGCGCCCGCAGCGGCGCTGCCTCCTCCCGGCTCCTTTCATCCGCGCCTCCCCGGAGGCTTCACGAACATCAGTGGCAGCTCCCGGCACCCCTGGGAGTTTGGGGGGTGGGGGGGAGAAGGGAGGGGGGTGCTGCTGCATCTTGTTCTCACCCCGGTCCCACGGGCCACCGGCCGCTCTCTCCGCTCCCGCGGCGTCCCGAACGCTTTGAACCCCGGCGGATGAAAGGGACCCACCGAAAAACTGCCGGTGCAGTGGGAGCATCTTCCCCCCTGGGACCCCTTCCCCTGGCACCACGCTCACCAGGACCCCCCCCCAGAGTTGGGGGGGGGGGGGGGGAATGGATTGAGACCCCGACACAAGCGGCTGCCCTGCCTTGCCAAGGGTGTTACTGGGTGTTACTGGATGTGGTTGCAGGAGTGCGCTGGGGCTCACGGCCCTCGCCTGGTAAACCTGAAGCCCCCTCAGGCTCCTGTGGGGGGGCATCTCCCCCCTCCCCTCAGGCCCCGGCTGCGGTGATGAGCCAGAACTGCTGGAAATGGGGTTGTGTGTCCCGGCTGGCGGTGACCCCAGCGTGGCACGGCAGGATTGGCCTTACCCTCCCCTTGGTTTGGGTCCTCAGCGTGTGGCAGTGAGGATGTGGGGACATCTGGGACCTTTTCCCGCTCCCCCCCCAGCCACAAGCAGCCTGATGCGTTGCAGCATCTCTTCCCGGCCGGGGTGCTGGGGTGCAGGATCTGGCTTGAGCACCCTGAGATCTCTTTCCCACGCTCCGCACCATCTCCCCATCCTCTTGCAGCTCCGGGAAGTCGGAGGGTGCACTGGGAATATCTACAGAGCCCATCGAGGGGGGTTTTCTCACGGGGTGACTCACGGCAGGGCCTGACTCGGTGCCCAAGGTGGGGGGGCAGGCGGGGGGAGCTGGGCTCTGCCAGCACCCCCCCCCCCCCGAGCCACCGCCACCCCAGGCAGGTGATGCAGCAGCTCGGGTTTTGCTCAGCATTTTTGCAAGAGCAAAGGGGATGGTTTGCTCCGGTTGGGGCTGAGATGTGAAGGCAGATAAGGGCTGCCAGTCTGCAGCGTGACATTAAAGAGCAGCCCCAGGAAGGGGAGAGGAGGGGAGGACAGGTTTCAGAAAAACAACGGGCCCCCTTTCCCCTCCTCCTCCGACGCCACAGCCGTGTCCCATCCAGCGTCCCACCAGGCAGGGACAGAAGTGACAGTGTGAGCTATTTGGGTCCCTGGGGAAAATCCCTCTGGCCGGGGAGGAGGATGCTCCACTGTGCTCCACATTAAACCCTGGCAGGGTGCAAGGGGATTTCTGGCCCATGAGGATGGGCACAAGGGAATCCCTCCTGCCTGTCTCAGAGAGGGCTTCCCTGCCACCTCTGGTGTAGGAGAAACTGAGGCAGGCTCCAGCCACGAGCCGCCCTGGCCCTCTGGCACCCTGGGGTCAGAGCAGGCAGCCGAGGAGGGGGGGGTCAGGAATGAAGAGAGCTCCCTTGGCTCCAACAATCTGCAGAGCAGCAGCCCAGCGCCTGCGAGCGAGGGGGCTGGGGGATCTCCTGCCATCCCCCCGCCATGCGCTGCTGGGGGGGATTTCCAAGCACCCTGGGGTGGGCTCGTAAGGAAGCCGTGGGAAGCTCTAAAGGTCGGCAGGGGCGGAGAGGGGGCACGGGAGGAGCCAGCTCCATTTCCCCCCCGCCTCGCTGGGGATGCTCAGGGCTGGGCTCCCCCACGGCTCCTAGCCCACTGGCCCCACGGGACCCGGCCCGGTGCCTCCTCGCCTGCCACTGTTTGCAGGATGTGGTCTGCAGCACCCGGGGCAGAGCAGCAGCCGGTGCATGGCATGCAGCACGCAGCCCCAGCCTGGATGGGGCCCCGGAACATCCCCAACCCTCCGGCCACCTCGCAGCCCCGCTCACCCCTTCCTCTCCCTCTCTCCTCAGGTGCTTGGGCGTTGGAGAGCTTCGTGAAGCGCTTTCGGCTGGGGTCCCCCGTGGCCTCGACTCAGTTCCTCACCAAATACTACGAGGATTAGCGCCGGCCGTCGTGCCCTTAACCCTGCGCAGCTGCACCTCCTTCCCCACACCCCAGAGCCACCTCTGCTCAGACTGGGAGAAGACCCCAGGACCCACTGAGAATGCTCCCACCCCCCCTGCCAGCCCAGATTCACAGCAGAAACCCAAAAACCAGGGAGAGGGGTTCTCTTTCCCTCTGAGAGTAACATCCCGAGCGGCAGCCCGGCTCACCCTGGGTGCCCTGGGAAGGATGGCATCACCCTCTTCTCCTCCCCTCACCCCATTTCTGGCCTGACCCCCAGCATGTCCAGCTTGCATTTTGGAGGGGGGGGTCTTAAGCTTTTTGCCTGCAGCTTTCGGAATAAAACACGGATGGAGCGCTCAGGGCTGCATGGGCTCCGTGCTGACAGCGAGCGCGGGGCAGTGCCGGGCCAGCACCGTGTGAATCTGGTCACGTTGGGGTCTGCACCAGCTGCATGAGATGCAGCAGATCCCCCTACCCCCACCACCACCCTGGCAGTCTTGGAGGGGGGCGGTTTGCCACCAAAACCCTCGTGCAGGCGATGCCGGGCATGGCCCAGTGTCACGCAGAGGGTCTGGCGTGGGAGCAGGACCGTGGTGCCCAGCTCGGGGTGGGGGGGGCGGGTGTCCCTCGGCAGCGTGGGAGCCCTGCCTTTGCCCTCCCTCGGTGCCTCAGCCCACTCCTCTTGGAAAGCAAAACTGAAATGAAAGCCATAAATCAGAAGAGCTCTGCCTACCGGCCACTTAGCCGGACCTCCCCTTTAATTAGCTCGTTAATTAGGCTTTCATCTAAGACTCGGCTTTCTCTGAGGCTCGGATTCACCTGCCTGCAAGTCCTCCCTGCAGCATGTCCTTGGTGGCTCCCCTGTGACAAAGCTGATTTTGTCCTGCCGGTGGCCAGGGCTGTATCCAGGAGCACTTTGAACAAACCATGGGGAGCAAGAGACCCCTGGGAGCATTTTGCAGGTGGGGGAAACTGAGGCACGAGGGAATGCCTTGCTCACAGGCACGCAGGGAGGTCTGACATCGTTTGGGGTGGGGGGGGGGGATGGCGACGCTCTTGTTGCAGCATCTTACCCCTGCACCGGCGCCTGGCTCTGTCCCAGAGCAACCTGTTCCCGATGCAAGATTAAAAAAGGTCTGTGCCATCCCCTTCTCGCTGCCCGTGCTGGGCTGGCTGCCCTCCCTGGCAGTGAGAGTGGCTTTTACTCCGTGCCTGGGGGGGGGGGTGTGGGTTAAACATGGCCGGGACTTTCCCTCCAGCAGGAAATGGCTGTTTACCTCGCAGGGGCTGAATCACTCCGGCTGCCCCATCGCACGGGTCCTGCCAAGCCCTGCCAGCCCCGTGTCCCCGCAGGGAAGGGTCGGGGTGACGGGGCTGCGAGGTGCAAAGGAGGATGCGGGAGCCGGGGGGGGGGGGGGGTTGGGGTGCCGGCTTGCCCCGGGGAACACGCCGCTGGGTGAAGCTGCAGGACGCGGCGGGAAGGAGAGCAACAAAAAAAGGAAGCTGGGTAACATACCGCAACCCAGGGAAAAAAATACAAAACACACTGCCCGGCTTGCCATCGGCGCTAAGATTAGTAGCAGAGGAAATGACACTTAGAGATGTCATGGAAGTCTGCTAAAGTTGGATTTCTCCTTCTCTTTTTCTATACTTACCCTCCGTTGAGGGTGTAATTGGCCCGTTAGGTTAATGCGAAGGGACCGGTGTAAATGAAAGGTCATGCTTTGTTGACATCCTGCAGTCAAACTACAGTCATCCTTTCCTCCCTGCCTTTAATTCCTTGTGGCTGGTGTGTTTATTTTTGGTGGAAGGGGAGAGAAAAGCCAATCGGATGTTTATCCTTCTAGGAAATTATCGCCATCATTCTTGGGTTTAATTTGAGCTGGAGATGAGAGGAGTCAGACGCACACCACGTCCGAGCCAGGCTCGTTCTCGCTGGGCACTGCGAGCCCAGACTGATCCTCTGCCCTGTGTGTCACTGATGGGGATGAGGATGGGGACAGGGATGGGATGGGATAGGGAACGGGGATGGGGATGGGATGGGGATGGGGACAGGGATGGGAATGGGATGGGATGGGGAATGGGGATGGGGATGGGAATGGGATGGAGCTGGAGATGGGGACGGGGACAGGGATGGGGACTGGGATGGGGAAGGGGATGGGGATGGAGATAGTGATGGGGATGGGGATGGAGACAGGGATGGGGATGGGATGGGGATGGAGATAGAGACAGGGATGAGGATGGGATGGAGATGGAGACAGGGATGGGGATGGGATGGGGATGGAGATGGAGACAGGGATGGGGATGGAGATAGTGATGGGAATGAAGACAGGGATGGGGATGGAGATGGAGACAGGGATGGGGATGGGATGGGGATGGAGATGGAGACAGGGATGGGGATGGGATGGGATGGGGATGGAGATGGGAATGAGATGGAGCTGGAGATAGGGACGGGGATAGGGATGGGGAATAGGGATGGGGATGGAGATGGGAATGGGGTGGAGCTGGAGATAGGGACGGGGATAGGGATGGGGAATAGGGATGGGGATGGAGATGGGAATGGGGTGGAGCTGGAGATGGGGATGGGGACAGGGATGGGGACTGGGATGGGATGGAATGGAATGGGATGGGGAATAGAGATGGGGATGGGAATGGGGATGGAGAAGGGAATGTGATGGAGCTGGAGATGGGGCTGGGGACAGGGATAGGATGGGGAATAGGGTTGGGGATGAGGATGAGAATGGAGAATAGGGATGGGGATGGAGATAAAGATGGGAATGGGGACGGGGATGGAGACAGGGATGGGGACATGAGGGGATGGGGAATAGGGTTGGGGATGAGGATACGGATAGAGGTGGGGATGGAGATGAGAATGGAGATGGGGATGGAGAAGAGGATAGGGATGAGATGGAGATGGGGATGAGGACAGGGATGGTGACAAGGAAGGGGATGGTCCAGAGCAGGACTCTGCATGGGTGGTTGCAGCGGGCATGGTGGTGGGACACAGGATGAAGGCACCGCTGGCTTTGCGCCGGGCGCCCGGGCTGCCAACACGTGGCACGGCAGGAGCACCGGCCAGCCCAGAGCCACAAACTCTCACTTGGATGCGCGCAAGGCCTTCACACCGTGGAAAATATTAATTGTGGGTTTTTTGCTTTGCTTTTTGATAATTTAAGAAAGAACGAAGAAAAAAAAAAAAAAAAAGAGGAAGCCACGTACAGTCACTTTGTGCTGGTCCCACCCCCTTTATCTCTCCTTCCATTCGCTCACCATCGGTGCGAGAGAGAAAAGAGAAGCTGAGTCTCTCACTGCCTAAATGTAGAAAGTTTTGCTTCTAAATCAGTTTGTGATGGAAAGGAAATACGTCACGTCCCTGGGGAAGTGGCTGGTTTTCAGCAGCCACAACCCCAGTGCCGAGTGCTGCAATGGAACAGCCCAGCACTGAAATAGCTCCACGCTCTGTTATTGTCACCGATATAATTTTTTTTCTCTGTCTACATGTGTCATTTTTAGCATCCAGAGGAAGTTTTATTTGTATTTGTTAGCTCGACTTTCCACTGTCATGGCTTTTTTACTTTTTCATGTGAAGGTCCAGGAAAGGGGCAGGAGAAAATAGAGCGGGCTGAGCTCAGGTGTGATGGGCTCGATGGGGTGTAGCGTGGTACCCGCGGCACCGCTGGCCTCTCCACCTGCACCTGCCCGGCGTCCCGGCGTGCGTGCACCAGCCTCGCAGATCCCACAGGAATTGAAACACCACAGGCCCACGGGAACACACGCTCCCGGGGATTTGGGGGGGCTGCAGCAGTGAGCCGAGTCCCGGGTATGGCTGCGGGATGGAGTGGGCCCCCCCCAGTCACTCTCCCCAGGACCGGGTCATGAGGTGGGTCTGGATGATTCCAGCCCCTTCCCACAGCAAACCCAGCCACGCAATGGGATGGTGGAGGAAGAGGAAAGCTCGGGGTTTAAAAAAATAATAACAAGCTTGTGAAAATTGAATGTTCCTGGTGAGCAACGGCAGCTCTTGGCAGCGCATGGGGGATGTTTCTTTCCAAAACTGAGCTAGAGGTCAGAAGAAGCCTGCGCTAAACACGATCCCTAAGTCAACAGGGTATTAATTACCTGGTTTTAATGGTTATTGAAATAATTACTCTAATGGGAAAAAGTCTCAGCCCCTGGCTCGAGGGGAGGCAGTCCTCGGTCCCAGAACAGGAGGCATCTCCCCTCTGGTGGGACCACCCTGGGAAAATGCAGATTTAAGGGCAGGGGATATTAAGGAACAGGGACTGGGGCCACCCCTTGCACCCCCGCAGCCTCAGTGGCCTGTGGGGACAACACGGGGACGACCCAGCTCAGCAGGAGCAAAGCGATGCCAGGCAGCAGCTCCCCCTCGCATAGGTACTTGCACAAGAAGGGATTAGCAGGATCAGCTGATGATGATCTAAGCGCATAACTATATCAACCTGTGAATTAATTAATGATATCTCACACTTCATAATGGCTCTATCTGCAGATCTTATGCACTCCTCAAGCATTCAGTGAATTAAACCTTGCTGCACCCCCCGGGAAATAGGTCAAGATTGTTAATCCCCATGTGCCGGTGGGAACACAATGGCACGGCGCGGGGATAAACAACGCAGCCTGTTTTGGGTGCCAACACGGGAGATTTTTTTTTTTTCCAGGTGGGCTGAGCACCAGCGTCCCCACGGCACCGCGAAGGGATCGGGCTCCCCGGATCGGCCGTGCGGGTGGATGATGGGCACCGCTGGTGGGATGCTCCGATGCTGAGGGCTGAGCTCCTGGTGCTGTGGACACACACACACACACGAAGCCACCAGCCTGGGGGTGTCGTCCCCCCACCCCCCTGCTACCCCCGTTCCACGGTGCATGCGTGGGCGTGGGGTCGGCGGTGGGTGCACCGGGAGCTCGGCTTCACCGGCGGCCTTGAGGTGCCGGATGAGGCTGATGCCTCCCTGCTGCTCCTTCAGCAGTGACCTGGCACCCGGGCGGGCCCTGGGAGAGGCAGCCTGGGCTGCGGCAGGAATTTAGGGCTCCTGAAGTAATAGGGGAAGGTGGGAGAGGCAGGGACGGGGCCACATCCCCACCGCTGCGCACCGTGGCAGCACCCGGAGGGGGCCAGCGGGCAGCAAGGGGCGTGCAGCCCAGTCCTGGCATGATGGTTTCATTAATTAGCAACAATAATTAATTCTGATCAGGCCTTCAAAATGCTGCATATCATCAGAGGAGTTTTTCGGGGCTGTCTGGAGGAGCCCAGTCCCCCTCGCTGCCCTGTCAGAGCTTGCTTGGTTTGGGGGTCGCTGGGGCAAGCTCTTGCAGCAAACGCCGGCTGTTATTGAGGGCA